TACTTCCTAATGTTTACCTCAAGGAACAGAGAAGATCTCAGTTTACCATTTCTGGTTTGGCCTAGTCTACTTTCATTGATGTGCATGGTGGCCTGTGTTGAAGTCCAACAGTTTTTCCAAACAAAAACTCAAATGGGTGTATGGAAATCTTGACCTCACAGTAAGGGTTGTTTTCCTTACCCTTTAAGGGTAGCCTACCTCAGGAACTAGTCTGTGTGGATGCAGATACACCACTGACCTTGGAGATGGAGACCTGGTCACCATCCTCACCCTGGATTGATTTAGGCTGCACAGTGGCCATCACTGTACCCCACTCTGGCAGCCCAGAGGCTCCTTACTCAGTCTCATTCCCCAACATTGACTTCAGACTATAGCCATCTGAGATGGAAGATAATAGCTTGAGAGAAGAATTACTCACTCAGTTTGAATTTATTATTATACTTCAGAAATACATGCAATTTATAAGAGTACGGATCATTGGATTTTCACTGAACGTATTCTGGCACAATCAGTTCTTAGAAAAATAAAGAGATCCTCATTGTATCTAGAATCTTCCCCTCAAGCATTCTTCCCAGGAAGGCCCCTTACCAAGATAACCATGATTCTGACATATTACAAGCCTATCTTAATTATGTAGAGTGAGGTATTATAAGACATCTGGACTGTGTCTGCCAGAGTACTTGAGGACGTGTACTAGTTAAAGGACTACTCAAGTCAAAACCCAGGATTTTGGAAAAGGGCCATCTGTACATGTCCACATGTAAGATGCCAAACTTGTAGAAAATGTATGCTGGGTTTTTCATCATAGCCGTGGGCTGTCTCCTTTTTCTTATTTTAACCCTGCCCTGTGAGTCCCACTTTCAAAACACACACCCACACCCTGCTATTTGTACCTTTGTTGTCTTTTCAATGTCTCAGCCACAGACTGGCAAATATGGTATATGGTGATGAGTGGAATTTTAACATGTAGAAAAAATAATATACTCTTAGTTTCTGACTTGTATAAATGACATTAACAATACTTTTTGTGATTAAAATACTTAATTGGATAAGATGGACTAATAATTCCAAACAATTCACAATTAACTCTGTTATTTTCAGTACTAGACATTAATGTAACGGAAACGCAAGTTTGTCTAAGTATAGAGGCCTGCACTATTAGACTGCCACCACCAAAGGTACCAGATAGTTTGTTTACTACAATTTATTGTATACTGTGCTGCTGTACTTATGCTATACACTGCCTTTGCTGTACTTACTATGTACTGTATTTACTGTGTACTGGTGGAGCCCTGGTGGCATGGTGCTTATGAGTTAAGCTGCTAACCTTAAGATCAGCAGTTAAGAAACCGCTAGCTGCTCCATGGGAGAAAGATGGAGCTTTCTACTCCAGTAGGGATTTATAGCCTCGGAACTCACAGGAGCAGTTCCAACCTATATTCTCTAGGGCTGGAATGGACCCAATGGGAGTTCCTGAGTACCACTATACTTACTATATACTAAATTTACTATATTTACCATATACAGTACTACCTATTGTGTACTATGTTGACTGTACTTTCCTTATACAATGTTTGCAGTATTTACAATAAGGAGGCCTGGAGATGCTGCTGGGTCAGACTGCTAACCACAAGGTCAGGCACCCAAATCCAGCAGTTGCTCCCCAGTTGCTGCTGGGGAGAAAGATAAGTCTGCTTTGTCTCCTTTAGACTTAGTCTTGG